TGGGCGGAGGGGGAGGGTGGTGGGGGGGGGGTGAGCGAGCGGCTGCGTGGTTCCAAGTTGCCGGCTGGGCTTGAACCACGACAGAGGGGACGACTGGACTTGGAGGCTTTGGACATCCCGTGAAGGTTGCAGTTGTGGTTATATGGGGGATTGGAAGGGAGTGAGGTGGATGCTGCGTGATGGAAACATCTTTCTGCGACAGCAGATCTGTCTTAAAGCTCCCTTCCAGGGAAATGACAAATGTTGTGTGTGTTTCCTTCATGTTGAGATACATTGAGAAGACAAGGGTTTTTTTATTTTTGAGTGGGATGAATATAGAGTACCTGCAGGGTTTCCTTGCTCCCGTTTGGAGCTGGATCAGGGGTTTCTGTATACCTTGAGATGATGAGGGGAGTGGCATGGGTGACCATATGCCTGTGTATAACCTCCTTGGTCATCACTAATTCAACAGCCTCCTCTGGTATTGTGTCGGGCCTGGCATCAGGTGTCCCAGGCTCCACATACCAACTGCTTTCTTTTGTCTGGCTGACAGAGAGAGCACCTGGGACTGGCACAATAACATTCCCTGTGCAGGACGTTTGTCTTTTTAGCATCTGCTGGCTGTGAGACTCAAGTGTTGTTTTAATCATCTCAGGGTGCCTAAATCCAGAGGAGGAGTCAAGCTGAGGATAGGATGCTCAGTGGAAGCAGCACAGACCTCCATGGCACCTTGTCAGGTTGCTTGCATAAGGACCAGCATAGGGGCCAAATTTGGCTCAAGCAGAGGGCAACAAGGCAACTGCATGGGGTCAACACATCTGTCAAGAGTATAAGAGCAGGGCAAGTGCTTATAGTACTTTCCCTAATATTCTCCCTGGCTCAAATACATCCAGCTAAGAAAATTCCTGAACTGTATGTGGCTTTTCTGTTATTTCCTAGATGTTTTTTTCCTTTCATTAGCTCCTCAGTCTCTCCTTGAATATGTGTGGACTTTCATCATCCTCAGTATCCTCTGGCAAGAGGCCCCACAGTCAAACTACTGCTTGTTATGTGAAGTTGATAATTTTGAGCTTGGTCTGTCTGCATCTTTCTCTGATTAAGATGGACTGATGTCCCTTAACTCCTGTATTTTAAGAGAGAGGCCATGCCCACCTCAGGGATGTGGTGCCCTGCGAATGCAGACAGTTGTTCAGAGGGGAGTTCCTGGATTTGGCCCTAGTTTTGGCTGTGCTGTTGCATATTTTAATAACCAAACCCCCTCGAAATTCTTCATCTGTCTGCAGCATTCACAACATTATTGGCTGCTGGAGGGAAAGCACTGTTTTGAGCCCTGAGCTGGGGCAGGTGAGAGGAGGAGAGGACCATTATAGCCATGACATTTTAAAGCACATTGAGATAATGTGCAGGATTTGCAGAGACCAGCCTGTGCCCAGCTTGGAGCTCCTGGCGTGGCAACAGATCTGCTCTGTAAAACCTCTCAAGAACCAGGTCCAGCCATGCATGGAGATTGGCAGGGGAAGAGGCTTGTGTCCTCCCACTTCCCTCTCTGTTACCCACAGCACCATTTGGCATCAGCTGTACCAGCTGCTTCTGCTCACACTGCCTGTTACTTTCCTCAGGTAACACCAACAGCATCTTTGCACTGGACTACATCAGTGGAGCCTTAACCTTGAATGGGCCGCTGGACCGGGAAAACCCCTTCTATACCGCTGGATTCATCCTCACAGTGAAGGTGAGACCTCCTCCAGCTGGGAGGCAGACTGGCAGAGCAGGATGGGGAAGGCATCCTGCCTGGGGACAACTCCTTTGAGGCTGAGGCACAAAACTGGGACATGCTCCTGTGGGCATCTAGAGCCAGGATGTGTTATACCCTGGCCAAGCCAAGAGAGATGTTTGGCACAGCTGCCTTAGCCCAAAAATGCGGTTGCCTCTATATGGATGGATAAGGTAATTTTTGGTGCCCAGCTTAGTCTTCAACTAGATCTGCCTGTAGCTGTATCTGCTGGCAGCAGGCAGATGCCCTGGGATTGCAAATAGCATGAAACACCTGCATTCAGGCACCTGAATTGTGCCCACTGTGCCTATTTCCTTCCCAAATCCCTGCAAAAACAGTTGTATTTTGTCAAGTCAGTGGGCAGTGGTATAACAGGGCATCACCTGCACCTGCCCAGCACAGAAAGGCACAGCGAGGGAGTGATGCTGAAAGCTGCCTCAAGAAAAGGCTCTGGAGCATGGTCTTCCAGCCCTACCAGCCCCACCTGAGAGCGGCTCCACAGCTCTGCTCACAGCCCTGCAATCAATACCAAGCTGGACAGCTGGTTAGAAACACATTTCGCAGTATAGATTCTGCTGGGCTGGTGTGGGGAAAAATCAGCATTGTAGGAAGGGTCATTGATTGGGAGGGCAGCAGCCATCGAGTCAACACTCTCATTTTGGCAAGTGCAATGCTTTGTCGGGGGTGCAAATAGACAAGAAATTACCCATCTGGGTCCCAGGCACGGGTCATACTGTGGGTCTTTATGCACGTCTTTATGCACCCATCCCTGGTATGTCTTGGTTTGGGCTTTTATAGTATCGATTCAGTAGAAATGGAAAGAGGGAGGATTGTCTGGTTTTAATAGGGACAAAAATATCTGTTTAATTTTGGAAAGATTTGTGAACCTGAAAACTTGCCTGTTTTCCTGCCTGCATGATAATGGAGTTCCAACTATATTCTGTTGATCCAATAGATTTTTATTTCCTCTCCCCACAATCTTTGCATCCTCCTGCAAATGCCAACTCTCTGTGTCCTGCACTTGCAGGACCCAAAATGTTCTCCGCTGCTCTTGTCCTGGAGTACGCAGTGAAAATACAGCTGGATTGCTCCTTGTTCGGATCAGCCTGTTCTGCTGTTGTGTGCAGAAGCAGTGAATAGCAATGAGCCGTGTGGGTCGTGTTAGCGTTGCTTTTCTGTGCCCACAGCAAAGCAAGATTATCCAAAGGACAAGAGGAGGGACTCTGCTTGAAAAGGCTGATTCACAAGTCTTGCTTCTCTGGCAATAAAATATGCACTCTTTCCTTTTGGGAAAGCAAAATTAAAGTCTTTCTTAAGACAGAGGTGTGATCTGGAGTCATGACTCAGCTCTGTATTTAGACACATGTTGCCAAACCTATTTTAAGGTCTAAATCTTGTTTTCTTCTGTTGCCCTAGTATTCTCTCCCTTCAGTAGTACTATGGTAGGTTAGTTCCCTGCTCCTGGTTCCACCTCAGGAGACGGCAGAGGAGAAAACAGGAGTATTCTTTTCTCCATCGTGGTTTCCCTTATTTTGAGGACTGTCCCAAACATCTCAGGCATTTTTCCTTTTTTTTTTTTTTTTTTTTTGTTCAGATGCTTGGGGCAGGAGAATTGCCTACTCATCCCCTAGCGTGACTCTGAGATGTTGCATGATAGGGGCAAGGGGCAAGTGAGAACTTGGCCACAGCCATCTCAAGAGAAATGTTAAAACCCTGGGAAGGTTTGCAAGAGTACTATGGGTCTGAAACATGGATGATGGAAGAGCTGGGTCAACATCTATGTGTTAATGGGTCAGCACTGAGGAAAGTTGCTTAAGGTTAAGGGGCAATGGCAGAACCAAGCCATTGGTTCTGCATAATTCTGAGCACACTTCCTCGGCAAAGGGGAGGAAGCAAAAGCTGCAAGAGTCTCTAATCACTGCGTGCACACTTCCTATTACATTTATTGTTGAAAAATAAAGGCTGCCCTATTGTTTTCTCTCCTTGCAGGGGACAGAGCTGAATGATGACCGCACACCCTCCAATGCCACCGTCACCACCACCTTCAACATCCTAGTCATTGACATCAATGACAATGCACCTGAGTTCAACAGCTCTGAATACAGTGTGGCCATCCCAGAGCTGGCCCAGGTGGGCTTTGCCCTTCCCCTCTTCATCCAGGTGCAGGATAAAGATGAGGTGAGGTCACTTCTGTCCATCCTTTGTAGCATAGCACTCATGGTTTTTGGGGGTGCAGTGAAAGATAAGTCACTGATGAACTTGTGATGAGGTGCATGGTTATGTCCTGATAACCACTTTTTTAGCTCTTACTGCTGCCATTGCTCAGTATCCTGCATGCAGATAGACGCCCTTCCCAAAGAGCAGGCACAGCATGTGCTTTAGTGCAGTCAAGATTGCATGGTCACTGAAAACCAGAAAAAAGGATTGTGTGGGATGCTGATTCCTGCCTGCTTCTGAGGGCTCTTGTTGGGCAGTCCTTTGCCAGTCTGTTTTAGAAAGGGATAGGGTTTTCTGCTGGGCTCCCAGGGGACCTGACAGGGAGGGGAAAGAAGGGACCTCAGGCTCTCCGCCCTGGCAGGGATGAGTACTGCTGTGACCTGGGAAGAATCAAGAGATATCTGCTATCTTGGGGCTGGAGGAAGCGTGGGGGACACTGGGATAACAGTTCATCACTGCAAATGAGCCAGGAGCACTGGAGGCTTGTTCCTCCCTTGTGTTAAAGGAGCTCCTATTTGTTACACACTGGTCCATGCCATGAAGGGATTGCAGCATGTTTTCCAGCCTTGGGCTTGCAACCTTCAATTACTCTGATTATTTGACTTGTGCAGTTCACGTCTGGCTGCTTCTGTGTGCCAGCACCCTCCAACTCTTCCACACTGTGTGGTGTCTGCTTCAAACCAGTGCTGACACCACATGGTGGATTTTCTGAAATCCCTGAGAAAAGCTCTGGCTACAGGCTCATGCCATCCCTATTCCTTTTCAGGATGAGTGAGAGATATGGGGAGAGGGTTTGTCAGAACAAACGGCATCATCAGGATGTTTTCCTGATGCTTCAGGGAAACAATGTGATAGTACCAAGGAATATGAAACAGAATCTCTCTCCCCACCCCCCAAAATTCCAGTGGGTCAATTAAACTGTGCATCTTCTAAGACACCTTTGCTGGCTGAGATGATGGATTTGCTTTTCCCCAGTCCTGGGTGAAGTTCACCACATCTCATGAAGCCTCCCAAAAATGCCATTTTTTTCATGTGAAGTGATTATGACACAGAACTAATAACCTACTTGTGACATGATGTCATCATCCAGGAGTTATGAGTTCAGCCTGAAGAGGTGCAGATGAGGTATTAAGCAGATAAAGAGACTGTTTTTTCTTGAAAATGTCAATTGCTAATAAAGAAGATATGGATATGACAGATGCCTAGATAGTTTTTGAATAGAGCCGCTGTCGTGCTTTCTGAGAGATGTCAGCAGATCTGTTCTTGAAGGGCATTGTAACACTTCTGTTTGCGCCAGAAGTATGAAGGATCTGTCACTATTTCTGGTTAAAAGCTCATTTTACTGGAGTGACTCCCATTCAAGAATTCACTTTTCAGCCTTGCTAATTTTAAAATGAGAGAATAAAAAATAGCCTTGCTTTCCCGATCACACCACCAAAAAATAGGCTCATTCTTTTGATGTATTTCTTTAACTTCCTGAGATTTCCCCAAAAGAATTGGCTGAGATTTTTAAAACAGCTAAAAGAGGACCTCGTGCTAAGGGAGTCTGAAGGGGTTTTACTGTATATGTCTTTGGAGACCGTCATATTAGCATGGATTCATACAACCATAGCATTATTTTCACTGATAAGAAGCACAGGAGACCTGATGTCTTGAAGTATCTGGAGGGAGGAAAGTTATAAGCAACTGTTTATTGGGTTTTTTTTCCTGCAGTGGATCTTTATTATTTCCTCTTGTGGATGCTTGCAACAGGATAAACCATCAAGGTAGCACTTTGGGCAGGGGGGTGGGTTGGGGAAATAGGGACAGCCTACCCAGGTTGTGAAAAAGATGTATAAGAGACAGGAGTGGATCTGCATCTGCAGCCAGGTAGTGCTTCCCAGGTAGTGTATTTACAGAAGTCCAAGACCACCAGACTTTCAGTAAAAATTTACAGAAGAGCAAGAGAGTTGCTTTACAGTGACATTTTGGCTGCTCAAGTACCACATGAGAATTGCAAGGCTTTTACAAACCATCTGGATTCAAGGTAGGCGAGATGCTGTCATTTTCTCTCAATCTTCTGTGGGTGCAGGGGTAGAGGGATGGGACAGCGAGGACTTCAGGCAGGGATGTGACTGAGGACATGACTGACAGAGCTATTTTGTCAGCATGGCCTTCATGCTGGAGATGACATGATTCATTTGTGTAAGGGGCAAAGGAAAACAAGAAGAGCATTACATATGTCTTCAGGGAGAGCAGCTAAATAAATAAATGAGAACAGATGGATAGACACACATGAAATCAAAGCTAGAGTCTTCAGGAAGATCATTTTGCTTATGTTTTGAATCCTGCCTCCCAACCCATGTCTTTAAGTTCTATGAGAGCCCTTGGCAGGTTGGTTTCTTTCTTGAGCCAAGCCATCCAGCCTTATTCTGGCCCCTACAGCAAATTTTGACACTGTTCCTTCAGCTTGTTGAGGTCCTACTTGGATGGTGCAGCCCATGCCTGAACCTTGTCCCACCTACAGGTTCTATATGGTTGGGTGTCTTTGGGGGACCTGCCTGCCATTGCAACCTGGTTGTGTCTTTATACAGCAGGGGAAAAGGGTGTTGTATGAGTCTTGCCCTTAAAACACACTGTGTGGGCCATTAAATAAGAAGGAGTTTTGTAACCAGGCCTACAAGACTTTCTTTCTTTCTTCTGGTGTGTTTTGCACAAAATTAAATGATTGGTTTTTGAATGAGATAGATTAAACGATTCATCTAAGCACTTAAAAATGTATTTACGTTGCACACAAGACCACACTTGAAAGTATGTGCTTGAATTCACCTCGGTATTTAAGTGCCTTTCTGAAGCCTGGCTGGCATTAATGTCTCAGGTGCCTAAGTGGAGTGCCTGCAAGAAGAAACCCATTCCTCTGAGTCTGTCCCTTGCAGACAGCTGCTGTCCCTCAAACGTGGTCATGGTCTTGCTCCTAGAGGAGCTGGCTGGGGGTGCAGGGTGGGACGGGGAGCACCCAGGTTGAGTAAGGTCGATGACCCCAGACATGGATTTGGGGTGCAGTCAAGAGGTGTTCAACCAGGTGTGCTGGTTTTGGGTTTTGCATTCTCTACAGCTTATTGAAAACATTTGAACACAGGAGAAAGTAGTACACAGGGTTTGCACAGGGTTTTGGACCCGGCATTTTATGAATCAAGAAAAAAAGCATTAACCTCCCTGCAGCTGAATTTCACTCTCTGTCAGATAGATGGCAAACCACTTGAATACCTTTCCAAAGCTGTCTGAAGGCCATTTATGAAAATGTTTCCCACTATTTAGACTGAGCCTATACTCAATTGGACACCACAGAAACCCAGTATGTATATGCACTCTCAGAGTGGGGTTGGATTCTCCTCTCATTCACGTTGCGATAGATCAGCAGAGAAGAATAAATCCTGTGTGTAAGATGGAAGATTAAAGCCTTGAATCCATTTCTGCAGTAAGGTTTGTTTCCAGATTGAGTGCAAGAGTCCCGACCAGTGGAATGTTTGCGTTAATTCAGAGGACTGGTAAGCTCAGGCTCATCTACTCCAAGGCAGGCTTAGGTGAGGGGCATGGGTATCCTTTCTGGATATGCTGGTATTTTACAGCCTGGTGGCCTGACGAAGTATTTTAGGGCAAAGGCAAGGGTTTGGCCATGCAGGAAAAGGATCAGGGCATCCTTCAGGGTATTCCCTATTTGAGCTTCCTATTGCTGCAAGATCCACAGGGGTATATTAAGAGAAACAGCAGCATAGTTTCCCAGTGCACGCCAGAGAAGCCAACTCTTCTACCGTGGCTTTCACTTGATTTTCCCTGATGCGGTTGACTGAAGAGGAAGAAAAGGGCAGAGGCTGTATAAAGCACAAGTATGATGGTCTGACATTTTAAAATAATTTTGAAACAATTCTCCAAAATAAGCATATGGAGGAAGATAAATGGGGAATTTAAAGAAAGAAAATCCAGGCCATCGGAAAACAGAGTATTTGTTGCATAAAACTGCATCAGAGACTTGCATAGGGATATCGTATGTGCCCATGTGTATGCAGGTGCAATATATGAATCATCCATAGCATATATATGCATATGACAGACACGTGCACTATAAATATGATCTACACAGCAAGGAACTGTAAAGGGGAATTGACGGCACTCAAGTATTCTCTCCCAAAAGTGCCAGCTGCCAGTCGGGCTGAATTAGATTTCACAGGGGTTTTTGCAATACATGGAATTCACCAGCAAATTACCCTTAAAGAGGGAAAATCAATCATTTGGAGCAGAGATAAGCTGAAGGCAAGGCAGCCTCGGATTGATCCCGTCTGTGCAGGCGTGTGTGGAATTCAGCAGATAACCTGGGGAGAGTGGGGAAGGAGAAAACTCCTCGAGGAGGGGGGAGTGGGCAAGAACTGACACTTTAGGATGGACAGGCAGGAGAAAAGGGCTGCCAGTGAAGGAAGGAGAATCAGAATGGCTGGGGAGCATTTTGCTCCAGGCATCCTGTATCATCCACAACCTCAGTGAGGTCCTTAGGGATGCGGAGGACAAGGGCTTGTGCCCAGTGAGCCCTCGATAGGATTATTGACGCTGTTGCGCTTGGTTGCTGGGTGGGCAATGGGTGCTGTGCGAGCAATGGGTGCTGGGAGTCTGAGCTGGCTGGCTGGGCAGCAGGAGAGAGGCAGGCAACTCTACAGAGGCTATTCAAAGCACTTGAGTTAAATGCTTTAAAGTGGGTGGAGAGAATAGCCCTCTTTATGCCTTGTGTTTTCAAAGGAAGGATTAAGCATTATTTGTCTCTGACTAGCTAGAACCCCAGGCTAAGGTATCCAAGCCATACAAAGAGGCACTAATTGCTTTTAAAAAAACACCACACAACTCTTTTTCACCTCTTCCTTCTCTAGCACTCCTGAATTCTTAGCACTTTTCCTTAGCAAACTTGCCAGAATGAGGGGTATTAAACGCTCCTCGGCTTTTTGCAGATACTAGCCCTTGCCTCGAAAGTGGCTGGGAGGAAAGCTGGAGTTACACTGGGGTTTGTGCTTCAGAAAGGCAGGCTCTCTGTTTTGGAAAAGTAAGCTGTACCTGAGCTATGGTGAAGGGAGCCAAAGGCAGCCCTCTACAGAGCCACTACGAAGACAACTGGGGATCCCAGGCTGCTTTTCCCAAACCCAGCTCACTTTGTGCTGAAAATTATTGCAGGCCACCAACCTGTGCACCTTGATGATTTCAGGGGGTGGTATGGTTCAGGAGGGATTGTTTCCTTGTCTAGAGGTTTGGTTTTTTTACTTTCATTTTTTGTGTAACCATTGGTAAGTGATGCTAAATGCTCACTTTGACTGGTGGAAGGTTGAATAATTTCCCCCATGTGCACTCCCATGAGGAAGGGACTGGGTGGGAGCAGAGGCGATGGAAGAAGCCAGTGGACGATGCTAGGTAAAAAAGCAGGGGTGAAGCTTATGATCAATCCTCAGTCAAAGATGGAACAGCTGATGTGGTTGTTTCTGGCCTCCTGATTTGAGAAGGGGCTCCCTGATTTGTTGTGAACCCTGTGAGAGCACCTTGCAGGTTGTGAGCGCAGACTTCTGGCCATGGTCCATGGGAGGTGCATGAGCAGGTCCCATGTAAGTGCCTGGGAACTCTAAAAGGACACGCTTAGCCAGCTCGTGGCATGTCACAGTCTCACACCTGAGCTTCTGCCCTTGCCTGACAGTCTGTGCTATGCTGGCTGTGCCCAAGGATGGCATTCCCTCTGCCCCAGTCCCCTGGAATTTAAGAGGGATATTGGGCACATGGGGCTGGCAAACAGGTCCCTCACGAATTGTTCAAATATGAAGCATTTGGGGTAGATTAGTCAGTGGTCACTTTTTTGGAAGTTGGCTATCTGCATGAGGTTGATCCTGGCACTGTGGCATCGTGCAGCATCATGTCCCAGCAGCAGGGACATGGTGCAGCTCCTATTATACGCTCCAAGGAATACACATGCGAAGAACAAAGTAATAATTATGCCTAACTGAAGGTACGATTGTCTTTTAGCTGAATTGACATGAAATTTCCATCAGTTGCAGCGCTGGTGATGGCTGGGAGGAGGCTTGATTGCTGGGAAGGAGGCAGCAGGCAGCAGCCTCAAGCCACAATGAGTGCTGGCCCTGTGCACTGGCACAAGATGAGACGAACCAGAAACATGAGGCTGTGTCCCGGCTTTGTGCAATAGCAAAGTTCCCTCCGAAGCCTGTTTCTTTATGACTCAATTTGTTTCAGATGGAGGGCACATGCAGACGGGTTTATTATTGTAGGGTTGCTAAGCTTTGTCAGGCTGCTCATTAATTTATGCCTCTGAAGGAAGGTAAAGGAGATGATTTGTTTTCAGTGACGTGGAAAAAACTCGAGCAGTACAGGAGCTGGTGGGTAAGGGGTTGGAGGGAGCAAACAAGCAGGTAAAGAAGGTTGTGCATCGATAGCACACCCATGCATCCCACGCTAATCCTCAGCACCACAATGAGATGCTGCTCTACTGTAAGCCCACCACTGCACACCAGGACCTTTGTGAGCCCAGGGAGACAGCACTTGTTTTTCATATTCACAAACATGTTTCAGATCCGCTGTTTGCTCTGGGTGGCAGAAGCAGGTAGGAAGGGGTGAGGAAAATGTAAGTAGCTCCCCGTGGCTTCCTCTGGAGCAGGGGGTACTAGCTGTGAGCTGGGCTGTGCCAGCGCCTTCTGCTGGGCAGCTGATAACAACTTGAATATTTAGATTTGCTTTCAGCCATCCACAGGGGGCTCGCAGTCTCCGGGAACCAGGAGCAAAGAAAGCAGCATGGGGGCAGAAACAAAAAAATAAATAGCTGAATAAATATATAAATGGCAACTTGCAGCAGCTCTCCCAAAAGGCAGATGTATTCCCCTTCTCCAGACCTCACATGGGGAGACTGAGGCACTCGAGGGGCTGCTAATTAGGGATGGTGGGTATCTGGAGACTGATCTCCTTCCCCAGCTGAAGGGGAATTAATCTACCCAGCTCCTTTCCCGCAAATACTTGGATTTTTTTTGATGTTTCAACTTTTATCTCATGCCTCCAACAAAGTCGCTTCTCTCCAGCTTCCAAGAAAATCACTTGCGTTTCACCACCACGGAAGGTGCTTTTGTGTACTGCAGGGTGGGTACTGGCCCCTGGGAGTCACCGAGGGCTCAGCAAAAGAGCTGGGCAGAAATTCCTCAATGGAACAGCTTTTTGTCACTGTTGGAAAATGGTTCTTTGTTATAAATTGGCATCTTAAGGACAGGGTAAGAAATAATGGCTGGGGGAGTGATTCCTTCCTCCTGCTGTTCTCTGTACACTCTGCTCCCTCCCTCCCTCCCTCCCAGGCTCTGTACCAGTGCAATGCCTTACTTATGCCAGGGCTGAGTACTTCCATTTGTCAGCAAAACATCTTTTGGAAGGAGCTTTTGGAAGCCTGCCCTGAGATGGGTCAGCTTTATTCCCCTGGAGGGATGTTCACTCCCCTGTTGTGCACCAGTTGAGCACTGCTGTGCTCCTGGGCAGTGGGTGCCCTTGGGGCTGGCTCCTGCTGTGTGGCTCTGCTGGAATGCTCAGCTTGCACCCTGCTCTGGGGGCTGCTGAGTAGTGTAAGGAGGAGGGCAAGAAAGGATTCTGCCCATGTCCCTGGCTCTCGGTCGTCACACTTAGCCAGCTTTTGCTATTAGTGCCCCTTCGTGCATTTAATTGGCCCCTTTTTCTGATAGGAAGGAGGTCATTCAGGGAAAATTGGAAACTCAGCTCTGGCAGCTTTTGAACTTGCTTTTCACATGCTCTGGTGGGCTGTGCTTTGGGAAGAGGTTCCATGCCCAGAGCAAGGGTCCTTAAAGTGCTGGTTTTGATATGTTGGTGGTCCCACTGCTTTGCTGGCCAGGTCTTGGGAGAGGAGGAGCTTTCCAGTTCCCAGTTTGAGCTGTCTTACTGGAAATAGTTCTTTGACTGCGAGAGGCACTCACACTGTGCCCCCCAGCACAAGGCAATGAAATCCCAGTGTGTGATACCCTGTGCAATGTGTGGATCTTGAAACAGCAAAAGAGATTTTCCCTCCAGCTGTGTGCTGTGCAGGTTCAACCCAGGGATGCATTCTTTTCATGTGCACATGGATTTTGTATAAAATGGGTGCACATGAAAAGAAGATTTATAGAAATCACATGCATTGTACACCCAGTAAGCATAATAAAATGCAACAAAGAGTGTTTAAGATCGGTGCTGAACCCTATGGTTCAGTTAACCAAAATCAAACAGAGAAACACTCCTCTGCATCTCTGGTAATTGCATTTTTACATGTCTGAAGGCAAAAGGCTGTGGCCAAGCTGCTGGCACTGGCAGGGATACAGCCGATACATAGGCTTTGCAGTCAGGTTGGTGCTTTTGTCCTGTGCTTTCCCCAGGGCAGGCCCCAGGTGCCTGCAGCCTTACCCTGCAGATGGACCAGTTCCTCTCTCCTTTGCCATCGTCAACCTTCCTCTCTTCCTTCCCAGGGACCCAACAGTGTTTTTGAGGTTTACCTGGTGGGCAACAACTCCAACCACTTCATCATCTCACCAACCTCCATCCAGGGGAAGGCAGACATCCGCGTCCGTGTGGCAGTGCCGCTGGACTTTGAGACCATTCCTCGCTATGAATTTTCGGTAAGGTTGCACCCCTGTGCTCTATGGGATGTCCATGTTTTTAAGAATGACCATTAACCAGGCTTCTCTCTCACTCTCTCTAATCCACACTATGAAACTTTGGAGCATTACAAAATGGCCAAAAAATTGAAATACTAATAAAACACTCAGCTGTAAGAGCTTAAGCAGAGCGTGCTGCCCTTTGCTATGTCACAAAGCATAAAAGCTATATAGAGCATAAACCTTTAGGTGCATCTATCAGACACCAAAGCTCTCCCCAGCCTCCTGCTCCAGCTTTGCCCCACTCTCTGCCTGAGCTATAAATTCACAAGGAAGGCAAAGATGGTTTATACCATATCAGTGATGTCAGTCCTGACGGAGGGGCTTTCATACCACTGGTGGAGAAAGATGAGCAAAAGCTTTCCTACCCTTTCTTCAGGCTGTGGTGGGGTGGCAGGTCCTGGTTCCCCAGGCAGAGCTGAGCAGCTCCCAGGGAAGAGGCCCTCTTTTGAGCATCTATGCTTTGGTGGTTGGCACTGAGGTGGCTAATCTAGTGAGGGAGCTCAGTTGAGCATTGTTTTCTCCACTGAAGAAGAAAAGATAACTCTCACAAGCATTGCACACAGTGTCTCCAACCCTCCCCTTTGCTTTCTGTCTCTGCCCAGCTCTTTGCAAATGAGAGCGTTCCAGATCACGTTGGCTTTGCACGCGTGAAGATTAACCTCATCAATGAGAATGACAACCGCCCCATTTTCAGCAAGGCCCTGTACAATGTAAGCCTCTTTGAGAACACCACCGTGGGCACCACTGTCCTCCAGGTCCATGTGAGTAGGAGCATCCTGGCTCTCTCTGCAAAGTCCTTGGCATGCATGTGGTTTCATGGTGCCCATCTCCAAGGGGTGGGCTGGGGAGCCTGGTAAGGGAGTGATGGGAGATACTGGCAGTGGGGTGAGGTACAGCCCTCCCATGCGCTTTTGGAGCAGATGTCTTGACCTTCGCTGGTCTCTATGTATGTGGTTCCCACCACACCAGAAACTGAAGATGATTCCTGCACTGAAACGTCTCATCTGCAGACAGCAGCTTGTTGTGCAGATACTGATCCTAATAGTCATGGTCTTGCTTCTCCCTCCTCCTCACTGCATGGGATCCAACAAGTATTTCAGTTGTGTAAATGGCTTGTGTCCCATCACATACTCACTGTCTCTCCCTGCCTCATCTTTTTATGGGAAGAGATGCTGTGGTACCTACTGAACTTGGTTACTTCATCAGTGAGAGCAAATGCCCAACATTTATGTTTCAGTGTGGGTTTTCCAAACTGACCTGTTTGGAAGCATCATCTTCCTCAACGAAATTGAGGTCATTTGAGCCAAAAAAAGGTTGAAGGATGGTAAAAGAGGACAATTACTGTACTTAGCAGAGCATGGTATTAAATGGCTGAAAGCAGAATGGTAGTGCAGCAGACAGAGGTGGTAATGATCAAGGAGTGTTTCTGTAGGCCTCGTTCCTCCTGTGTGGGTTGGTGGAAGCACCCAAAATCCCTGACAAGAAGGTATGTTTCCAGGGGTGTGAAGGCAACGTCAGTCAAGGTCAGTGCCAGTGTGGGGCACAGAAAGAACCAGAACGAATCCCTGTGCTGAAGAGTAGCAATAGGAAACAAAGCTCCTTTGGGACAGGAAGTATCAAGGTGCAATGCATCAAAACCCCTGATAGGCTTCGGGTGTGTTACTACTGCTATGGTTTGTCATACATGAATTTGCTTGGTTTCTTCTCTGGCTGCCCTCCTGTCTCCCCCATGCTCCCCACTATCCCAGGACAAAGCCCCTGGCGGCCCATTGGCACAGACATGCCAATCCAAAGAATAAAAGCCCTGACAAAAGAGTTGGGTGTATGCGCCTGTGCATAAGTGTGTTTACTTTACAAACAGATGGTGTGAAACTATAGAGCCCCTGAGATGTTCCCATCTGACAGTTATTAATATTTCAAGCAGATGTTTAGTTAGTCAGGCCGTCAGACACTAAACAATGAGATTGTTACTGCGTCTTCTCTTTCCCCAACTTCCAGCTATGCCAGCATTTCAGAGTGAACACAAAATGCCAGGAGTTGAATCTTCTATGATAAATCAGAATGGAGGCAATTAGCACTGAAATCCAGATTGCCCTCCCAGCTGATCCCAAACTTTTAACAACCCTCATAAAGTACCAGCTCCTCCTGCTGCTGGTGCTGCTTGACTTCGAAACACAACCCTCTGCTTGCTTCCAAGGCACTGCCCTTCTGCGTGGTGCCTCTCCAACTGTTCCAAGTGCTGCACACAGAAAGTCTGCTTTCCTTGCTAATAAATTCCTCCTTTTCTTTTTTTTTTTTTCTTCTTTTCCTCTTGCCTGGGAGCTCCTTATGGGTATTCACCCACAGCAGTTAGGGATCCCAGTGCTGAAAAAAATGCCCCTTTGTACAAGTAAGTGCAGGTTTTGAGCCATGTGTTTTGAGGGGCAATGGATTTCCAGGGTTCTAAGGACAAATCAGGAGGCTTATGAGATCAGGATCAACAGGGGAGTATGTGGGCTGGGCAAGCGGTCGCCAAAGGATGGGAGAAGGCCTCCTGCCAGCCACTGCTGGAAATGGCTGAGCACAGCTGGCAGGGCAGAGCAGTGCCTGAAGCTCCTTCCCAGCAGGGAAGCAAGCAGTTAAAAACCACGGGGGCCAAGGCAAATGGAGGTTGCTGGGGAAGTTGTTCCCAGCAGCCCAGGAGACCCTGGGCTTGGTTACCCACCTTCCAGCAAGCACTTCCCTGCTAGCCCCCCTTGGCTGTGTGTGGTTGGGGGGTGTAGGTGAGGGGAAGGGGTTTCCCTGACCTGGGAAGAGCTGCAATCCTGCCCTGCCAAGCACACTACTCATTGCCACCCTTTCCCCACTGCCCTTTGCTTGGCCAGCTGAAAATGGAAAGGTAAAAAACAGAGCAAGCAGACTTCATTTGCAGTGACAAACGGCCATTCACCTCTGCAGCATTTCAGCTCCTAATGCCAGTGACAGCAGAGAAACATTGCCTGCTACATGTATAAATCAACTGTAAAACAACCCAAAGTACAGGCATCCAGTAGGGACACAGTGCCACTGCCTGCTTTCTGGTGTCTGCCTCTTTCCCTTTGCCCAGAGATGCCCTCTTACACACTCCTGTGCCTTCCTAGGCAGATCTCAGTTACTTCCCTAGCACGACGCAGCCTTTTCTGCCCTCTAAGATTTTGTTTGTCTGCTCTTTGTTCTTTATTTTGCATTCCCTCCATTTCCTGTCTGTCCATTCATCCATCCCTTCATCCATCTGTTTAATTCTGTCCATGAAAGGCATTTATCATATACATTTTGCAGTCATTTGCTTGCATGAGAACATCTGGAGAGTCCAGGCTGCACAGGAACAGCTCTTGCCCTGGGCAGGGAGCCTGCAATATACCTGAAGGCAGCCTTCCTGCCTCCGTGCTCTATATCCATGTGATAAGCCCCTTAGGCCAGAGATTTCCTCTGTTTGCTTTTGCAGAGACCAGCATGAAGAGGTCCTTACTCAAAGCTTCCAGGTTACTGTTACATGCATCATTGCAGTTTGGAGTTAGGCATACAGTGCAACCCAATAGCTGAGCAGAGGGGTGAGCAGGCTGCCCAGGGATCTGTAGTAGTTAGTGGCCTCTCCCCATGTGAACTTCTCTTTTCCCCTGCCGCAGGCCCTGCTGTGCATGAGAAAGCCAGGCTGGAGAGGCCACACAGTGGCACGTTCCTTCAGTGAGGCTGGGGTGAAGCAGGGAGGTGGCCAGAGCTCAGCCTGAAGATATGGGCAAGTTCTGCCCCAGCTACCAACAGATATTGAAATATATATTTTTTTTTTCTGAAACAACTGGCCATGAAGCCTTTTAATAACACAACAGAAAAGGTCAGAGAAAGAATTTCACACTTCTTGAGCAAGCAGTCAGCCAGTATAACTTCATGCCTTCCAGAACGAGAGACACCTAGAGCATATACTGCACCCTAAATTAACTGGGGCTCTGATACCCCCAGCCAAGTGCTGCCTGGGCAGTTGGTGGCTTTTGATGGGTGCTGTGGGCTGGAAAGCTGTGCTCTGGAGAGGTTTGTTGAGGAAGGGTGCCAGCTCCACATGGTACAGAGGGCTTGAGGATGTGATAGGAAGCCCTAGGGAATGATGGTGCTAGGGTGGATGAATTGCCATGTTCAGCTGTAGCCATGATCAGTATCTGTGATGGGCTTAGCATACATCTGCCAAAATAGGTCCCAGCAATAGGTTTTCTCCTGGGGTTTGAGGAGCAGGAGAAAGGAGGGTATCTCCAGCCCTGCCTCTCCCAGTTGATAAGCCCAGTAGCTGGAGGAGAGGATGAGTTGCTAGAGGTAGAGTCGCATCCACGAATCTCAGACCAGACAGAGGATAAATCTGTTGCAGAGGGACAAACCAATGGGCAGATAAAGGAGGAAGAGATAAAAGGGCATGGTCTGACATCCATGCCTCTATGAGCATCAGTACAAGTCTTGAGGGAACAGGGATGGTATGAATAGTGATATTGTCAGAGCAAACCCGTGCTACAGGGGAATAGCAACTCTGTGGAAGCAGGGAATGATGGGAAAGGGAGATCCAGGAAGGAATGCCCTCTGCTTTGGGAGAGAGTGCTGGGCAAGTGCTGAGGTCTGGGACTAGGGAAGACCTAGTGGGGCCAGTCCATTAGTTCTATTTGAGTCCAGAGGCAGCAGAAGCCCTCAGGTATGTGCCCCTGTACTGCTGCTACTCCTTCATGTTCCAAGCTGCCTCACTGCCAGCAGCAGGGAGTAGTATTGTGGCTTCACAATCAGCTGAGACAGGAGCAGAAAGAAGAGTCTCGGGATCCCATGCCCAATGGCTGTGAAGAGGTCTGAAGCTGGTCAGGCATCAGATCTAGCTGCTCAGGTCTCTGCTCCTTCCTTCCCCAGGTGTGAAGGGTTTGACAGTGGTCCCAGAGCCTCACATCCCATTAGCTGTGATGGGGCTCCCATGAGGAGCTCTTCTGTGACCTGGGGAGGAGCAGAGGCATTGGCACTAGATAAAGCTTTTAGCTGGGAAACTTTTTTGGGTGGAAAAAGCTATGAAAACATGGCATTGCTTCTGGGGTCACCATGGCCCAGCCCAGCTTCCAGCAAGCTCCCCTCAGCAGGGAGAGAAGATGGAAGGTTCAGTCTAACATTCCCTCTTGTTATTCTCTCTTGTGCCTTTTCTGGCACCAGTCATGCTCCTCACGTGTGGTGGAGGATGCTTGGCTGGGAAAAGCAGGGAAGGTGCAAGCATGTGTTCACGCTTGTCACGCTGAGCCTGTGGCGTGTGTGACCCTGTGCCTTGCCACCTTGCAAGGCTGCAGGGTCCAAGTGCTGTAATGGATGGAGCAGAGAGCACAGCATCCCTCCAAACTTGTCTTTGGACACTGCTGCTTTGACAGCAGCTGCCATGAGTCAGTGTGGTGCCGACTTCCCAAAAGCCAGGGACCTGCACGGCGGTGTAGGTCTATGCATTGTTCTCCCTTGGTGGTGTATTTGCTAAACCTGGATGAATGGGGAAGGGGCCGAAGACAACCCAGCAGGAGGTATGAATTAAGGGGCAGGAGGTCTCCTTAAGCTCCTCAATACACTACAGAGCTGCACAGCAAAGTCCTCCTGAAAACCTCTGATAACCAAAATCATTAAAGCCTAAACAAACCAAGAGTAACTTGTTTTTAACACAACAATGCACTTGATTTGCCTTGAAGGGTCTGGAGAAAAATTGTTCTCCAGGGATGTGTGGAAAGTAATCCTCCGCTATGATCCCTCC